ACCCAAATGCTCGGGCCTTGGAAAGAGGCCTGTGTCTTAGTTGTCAAAAAAGCTTGATCCCATGGCCTTGGGATGGCTGGGCTGCCTCAGAATTATTGCAGCCAAAGCCTTGTTGGTTAAGGATGCAGACAAGCTCACCCTGGGACATCCCCTGATGGTCATCACCCCTCACTCGATTGAGGGTGTCCTTAAAAATCCCCCTGATCGATGGATGACAAATGCTCAGCTGAAGCATTATCAGGCTTTGCTCCCCGCCCCCCATCCAGTTCCTCTCCAGCACCGCTGTCAATCCTGCAACTTTACTGCCAGAGCCAGATCCTGAAGTCCTGTACGACTGCCTGGAGGTACTCTGCAGCTTACATGGGACTCGGGAAGACCTGATGGGTGTTCTATGACCCCACCCGGACTTAATTCTGTTCACGGATGGAAGTAGCTTCATTAAGGAAGGAACCAGGTATACGGGGCGGCGGTCATCAGTCCATCATGGACAGCGTGGGCCTCCTCTCTACCAGTCGGGACCTCTGCCCAGAAGGCTGAAATACTTGCCCTGACTCAGGCCCTAAAGTAAGCAAAGACCAGACTGTTAACATTTTCATGGATAGCCATTACCCTTTCACTACGGCTCATGTCCATGGAGCTATATGCAAGGAAAGGGGGCTCCTGACAGTAGAAGGAAAGACTATCAAAAATAAACAGATCTCGGAACTTCCGGAGGCCATATGGTTACCAAAGAGACTGGCCATCATCCATTGTCAGGGGCACCAAAAAGGGGATTCACTGGAGGCACAGGGAAACAGGGCAGAGGATCTAGAAGCCAGAGAAGCAGCCCTAACAGCCTTGAACCTACTGGTTATCCTGCCTGAACCCCTCTTCCCAGAAGAGCCCTCCTACTCAGCTCAGGACAGTCAGGACTTAACTTCCCTGGAAAATACCAAGATCAAGCATGGATGGAGATACACCTCTGATGGGAGGCTCATTTTGCTGCATAAACTGGCAGAGGACTTAAAATATAAACTTCACAAAGGGGCTCACCTAGGAAAGAGAAAGTTACAAGAACTCCTGACTCCGTACCACATGTTCGATCTAACCAAAATGATTGAGAGCTGTCGTCTTCCATCTAACCAAAATGATTGAGAGCTGTCTTTCCAGATGTCGCTCTGCCAGGTTACTAATCCTAGAGGAAAACTCATGCCCCCAGCCAGAAGGGAGAGGGGCACAGTGCCTAGAGTCCATTGGGAGGTGGACTTCACTGAAGTAAAACCTGGTAGGTATGGCTATAAATATCTCCTAGTTTTTGTAGATACATTTTCAGGATGGGTTGAAGCGTTTCCCACAAAGGGGGAAACCACCACAACGGTGGTTAAAAAGATCTTCAATGAACTAATACCAAGGTATGGACTCCCCTCTGTGATCAGGTCAGACAATGGACAAGCCTTCATCTCTAAGGTAACTCAAGAGTTAATTAAAACACTGGGGACTAATTGGAAGCTACATTGCACATACCACCCCCAGAGCTCAGGGCAAGTAGAGAGAATGAATCAGACCCTTAAAGAGACCTTAACCAAATTAACCCTAGAAAGTGGCGATGACTGGATGGGCCTCCTACCTTTTGCCCTATACAGGGTCAGAAATACCCCCTATACTCAAGGCCTAACACCTTGAGTATACCACCCCCTTTGCTTCCCAAGCTGCCTTCAGATGTGCTAACTGATTTGTCTGAATCCCAATTTCTTAAGTCCTCAGGACTTACAGATTGCACAAGACAACATTTTCCCTCTGCTGAGGCATATTTATGAACTGCCACCAGCCCAGCCACACAGATTCAAGCCAGGAGACCTTGTTTGGGTGAGATGACACCATAAGGAGCCCCTTGGACCTCGTTGGAAGGGGCCACACATCGTGATCCTCACCACCCCCACTGTGGTCAAAGTAGATGGTGTCAAGACCTGGATACATCATTCACACCTGAAATTGGTGCCAAACGACAAACCTGATGAACTGAACAAGAGATGGAAGGTCACATGGGTAAAAGACAATCCTCTTAAGCTAAAAATCACCGCTACACCCTAACCCTTGTTGTCTTTTTGTTTTCTCACAGAGCCTGCCCTAGGTAACTCCCCCTATGGACTCTAAAACTTCACCTGGATAGTTAGTGGCACATCCACCAGGAAGATAATGAACATCTCCTCTCATCTGGGACCTCTAAGCACCTGGTTCCCCAAGATTACATTCGACCACTGCAATCTGCTTGAAGGAACTTGGGACTTGTCCTCTCCATCAGGTACTGCAGACTACAGTTGCCAGAGCCCCCAAGCCCAAAACAGGACTTGGGAACACCACTTTTATGTTTTCCCACGTGACAATGGTAACTGGAGAAGTACCTGTGGGGGGCTGGGGAATTATTTCTGTGCTTCTTGGAGCTGCGTGTCCACTGGATATATTAATTGGGCTGCCCCAGTCACTACAGACTTAAACCAGGTAACTGTGGTCCCTGGCTGGTCCTGGCTTATTAGAAACCACAACACAGGACAACTTGATGTACTTCCCTTAGATGCATCCCTATCTCCTTGAGCTTTACCCTGAAGGGAAGGGAACTCAAACAACAACAAAAATAGATTGATGGGCGAACTTGGGGACTGAGGCTATACGCCTCAGGAGCTGGCCCAGGGGTACTTTTTTCAGTCCATCTCCAGGTGGGTCCAGTCTTAGGAACTCAGATGGGGCCAGCTCGGACAATGTTACAGCCCACTGGATTACCAACACCGGCCTTAACAATTTTTAAATCTGCCGGATGGCCAGCCCCTAGCCAAACTGTCTGACCTGACAAAACCACCACTCTGCCCACCTATAGATCTACCTCCTCAGGGGTCCATGAGGCCCAAAAGCCCCTACAGCAATCCCCTGGACTTACGAACCTCCTAAATGCCACCTTTATTGCTTTAAATAATACCTCTTCTAACCTCACTATCTATTGCTGGTTTTGCATGGACCCGAGCCCTCCCTTTTATGATGGGCTAGCCCGCCCAGAAAATTATACTGTCACTTCTGACCCCATGCCTGTAGAATTCTCCCACCTAGGGGAAGAAGGGGGCTTACTCTTACCCAAGTGTGTGGAAAAGGGCTACGCATGGGTCCCTCACATAAAATTGTTCCCCCTTCTTACCAATATCTAGGTAACTGTTCAAGAGATAGGGGCTACTACACCTAATCCATATATGGTGCCCCCCAACTCCACTTGGTGGGCCTATACCTCTGGCCTAACTACATGCCTCCACTCCTCCATTTTAAACCAGACCGGGGATTTTTGTGTACTAGTGCAGCTGGTTCCCCATCTATATTATAGAACAGACATAGAAATGGAAACCAGAGTCTCAGAAGAGTCTAGAACTCATAGGGCATAGGAACCACTGCAATTGTCCTGTCTACTTTGCTCAGGGTCAGAGTAACCACTGCAACTGGTCTGGGGGCTTCAGCGCTAGTCCTCCAGGATAACAATTATCTCCTTCTTAGACAGGCCATAGACTTAGACATACAATCATTAGAAGCATCTATCCGCCACCTCAAAGACTCTATTCTCTTTAGCTGAGGTAACCTTACAAAATAGGAGAGGGCTGGATTTACTTTTTCTAGAGAAAGGAGGACTTTGTGTTGCCCTAGGGGAACAGTGATGTTTCTATGTCACTCACTCAGGAGTTATAAAACAGTCTTTGGCTGAGGTCCGTAAAAGACTTAAGGGAAAATGAATGACTAAATCAACAAAATCGGTATGAATCCCTTTGTGACTGGTCCCCATGGTTAACAACTTTGATCTCAGCGATGGTTGGACCTCTCCTCTTATCCTACTAGCAGTCACCTGTGGCCCCTGTATTCTTAATGCCTTGCTCAAATTCATCCGAGAACGGATACAGACAGTCCAACTGATGGTACTGCATTCACAGTAGACTCATTTAAATCGAGACCCCGAGCCTTACGACAATACAGAAATGGTTCCACCGCTCTAAATGCACCGTCTAACCGCTTCTTTCCACTTCTGTAATTTGCTTGATTGAAGATTTAACCCTTGCCATAACTCTAGAGGGGAATGAAGAGCCAGAATGTTCTGACTCCATTTTGGCTAGCTTCTTTAGACAAGGCCAGACAAGCTCAGGTATATTGTACATGTAAAAGCCTTATAAGGTATGAACAAAGGGGGGAATGAAGAGCCAGAATGCTCTGACTCCATTTTGGCTAGCTTCTTCAGACAAGCCCAGACAAGCTCAGGCATATTGTAAATTTTTCCAGGTGCTAATCCCCCCTCCCCCGGGGAAGCTATAAATTAAGCAAGCCCTGGACATGTAAAAGCCTTATAAGGTATGAACAAAAACTTCTGGCCCTAAAAGATATCAGGCAGCACATTCCAGTGCCCTGAAGACAGCCCCTACCAATCAAGACTTCCCCCATACCCAGGATATGGGGACATCCAATTATTTTAAAAAGATGCTTGGCATGTGCAGGTTTCTGTGTAGTCCCCCAGTAAAAGCCCCTGCCTGCTATTGTTCAGGGCCAGACTCCATCTTTGGCTTGTGTAGCCTGTGCCCAGCTAGCCACCATTTGGTTGATTTTACTTTAAATTCCCGAATAAACTTTTTGTACAACCTTTTTGGTATCTGTGGGAATTATTCTCAATTCTCAAACCCTAACAGTGACTTTTATATTATGTGAGTTTTATACAATAAAAATCCATAATGGTGGATGATAACAATGACAGGCTCACAACTTGTCTATACAGCAGACAGGAACCCAAATGTGCCATGAGACTGATGAACTAGACAGCAGGCCATGAGTTAAAGTATCGGAGTAGGAAAAGTCTGAGGAAGAGCTATTATTCATTGCAAAGAAAACAACTCGAAAAGAGCCAAAGAACATGCTGTTAATACATGAAAACAAATCTAAAAGGGAGAAACTATGGAAAATTCTTTCAGAGAGAGTTTCCTCCTGCCAGAAGCAAGCACCTCCCTTACCTCTTCCAGGGCTGATGGCTGTGAGGAGGGGCCTGTGGTCGCTCATCTTCTCCTGCCTCTGCTTGTGAGAAGCCACCTCCAATTCCTTTTTTGCAAGGAGTTTGCTGGATGGGTAGAACAGGCCAGCAGTCTGTGTGCCTATGTCTTTCTTAGTCCCTGCACCAGATGTGGGCAAAGGAACATTCAGGGACTGCCAGGCAGATTGGGGCTATGAACAAGGCAGAAAACATTGAAAGATTAGGATATAATTTAATTAATCCCCATCTCCATTTATTCATAGAAAACAATTTTAATAAGAATGAAAAGCACAAAACACCTTTCTCTGAACCAAAGGTTTTTGTTTAGGGGGTGATCCCCAGCACTGCCTCATCTTCCTTTCTTCTGTCTTTCCCAGCAATGCTTAACTTGATCCATGAAACCAGTTTCATCCCCTTGGCTATCTATTCCAAACTGTCCCAAATTCAACAAACTAATGGATGTTTCTATCCTGTCTGGAGCCTGGAAGGTAGCTACCCTCTTGGTTCTATAATTCATTGAAACATAGACTTTACTAGGCAACTACTTAACATGCCACATTCAATGACTGAGAACAAATATTTTCTGATGAATCCAAGAAGATCACTGTTAGATTTAGGGGGCAGAAAAAGTAAGGACTTTAAAGTTCAGAAGAAGTAAGAGTCAGAGTCAGACCTGCAACAGGCAAGGAATGAGTTCCCTCATTCAGGAAACCCAGCAAAGGGTTGATAGCTCTTCCTCGAGGAATGATTATCTACAATCTGAAGAGGGAGAAGTCTGGTCTTATATAGGAACTCTGCTTCACACAGCTACAAGAGTTAACTCCGTGCCAGGGTCTGATGTCCTTGAGGGTCTCTTCTCCCAAAATTATTTGCTCAGGCAGGTGGGTGAGTTACCTAGAGCACTAGAGGAGACAGGTGGGCTCCACAAACGGTCTCTATCAGTCTAGGGAGTGAACAGTTGATAAAGATTGAGCTAGGCCAGGCTGCCAATTTAGGGCCAGTTAGCCACTCTAAGGAATTTATGTCTTTATGGCCTCCTCTAAAGGAGCTTATGGCTCGCCTGAAATTTACACACTCTATCAAGCACCATGGAAGCTTGCATAGGCTGTACAACATACAGCGTCACTGCATTTAAGGGGACACCATTCACGAAGGCCAGAAAGGGACCACATTCTCACCTGTCATATAATGCACATTCGTGTGGAACCTGGAGCTAAACCATTCATAGACAACCTGCTTCTGGGTCAGCATTTTGTATAGAGCAGAGCAGCTCCATAGCTGCGATCTATTGAAAGCCAGCCCTTGACACAAGGGTTTGTTGAAAGAAAGAAAGAAAGAAAGAAAGAAAGAAAGAAAGAAAGAAAGAAAGAAAGAAAGAAAGGAGGTGTTGGAGGGGAGAGAG